CGGTCCATTCAAGTTTTTGACCTCAGGTTCGTTCTTCTGCTTAGTGCTTAGTGTTTAGTGTTTAGTTCCAAGCTAGATATTTTTCAATACAGAGTGTTTTTCGTGTGTGCACATGTGGTTGAAGACATTGTATCTGAATATTGGTTACTGACTATAGACCTGTTGTGCAGGCATGTGGACCTAAATAACATGTTGAAAAGGAGTTGTTAAATGAGACTGATGTTTATAATGTTGTGGTTGCACTTGTTAAGCTAGCTAGAAAGTTATCTTGTTCCTTTATACTTCATAATGTTCAGTTTGTAGTTTATAATTGGTTCAAATCATAATGTCTAAATTGGAATTTTTGGATTTGGCACTACTTATGTTTCCTTCTTTGGCTAGATGGGCGTGCAGTGGTTTTCCAAGAAGAGGACAGATGGGCCACTCCGCTTATGCACACCGGTAAGTTTCAAGTATACCCTTTCTTGGTTTGCTAGGTCTTAATGAAAACAAGAATAATGAACTGAACACAAAAATAATCTGGACCAGCAAAAGTAGAGGCATACATTGTTGATTGGAAAAGAAGTTTAATGAACCTAAAACATGAACAACCAGGACCAGAAAGTATGAAAATACCCAACCAAACATCATAACGTCCTCCAATCAAAGAACCTAACTCTTCCATAGAGTATCAAACAAATGGCCATATTCGAAATGTGTCTCCGGTTATTAGAATCCATGCCAATCTTTTCAACTAGCCTTCTTGCTGCTCCTCAGGCCTTCCCTTCTAGTATATGGCTTCTTCTGCAACATTGAATATATAAAGTTTAGTTCCAACGAAAATAATTGTTTCCCAAAAGTATTCTAGACATGCACAATGAACTTCTAATATTACAGTTGGTGGATCAGGGATGTCGGTTGTATCAACATCCTCTTCAGTATCCTCCTCTGATAACTCTGGACAAGTTCTGGCATTATGAGTATCCTTCCCACATTTACTGCAATGTTTTGGTTTTCTGCCAATGTGTGGTGCTTGCTGGTCAGCTCCGTTGTTGGCGATGTTTTCACTATTTGGTTCTTCATTAGTTTCAGTATCAGTAGGTTCTGGTATTGTAGGCCTCACATAATCAGGAGGCTTCTTACAAGTGCTTTTTTATGACCCAATACGCCACATCTGCTACACATTCGTTGCTCCCCTTTCTTCCTTTTGTTTTCTTGTCCACCCGAACCTTTGTATTTCACAGGATGTGGATCCAAAAGTTTCTCTTTTGCCTTTGGTCTATTGATATCTGGGATCTCAGTATCACCTTCGTTCATCATGTCTAGCGATTCACATATGGATGCAATTCCTGTACGAGCAAGGTTGAAGCTTTCGCTTGATTTTGCCCCTTTTAACCATAACTGGGAGCTGCTCTGTTGAAGAAGCCCATATCTGAAAACCACAGTCAATATTATTCTATTAAAACGTCACGAAAAAGTGAAAGCTTATGTTCTAAAACGGGTCAACGCCCTCTGGTACCACCTTAGTATTTAATAAACACATCTGAACTGCTTTCTTAAACAGAGTAACACACAATTTCCAGCTTTATACAGTAACTACGAACCTGAATGTGAATAGTCTAGCCTCGTCCATATTGTGTGGTTGTTGTAAGCTATCAAGTGTCTTCGGCTTCTTTGACCACCTTAACTTTACCAACCGTTCTGGAAGTTCCAGCATACCCTCTTCTTTCAGTAGATGAACCATATGAGCGCATGGTATTCCCATATAGTGGTAATAGTTACAACTACACTCCATAGCGAAGGGCTCAATTGTGTATGTGACCTGAAAAACCTTTTGTTTACCTGACATTGTCACTCTGTAAATGCGTTGGTTTTCCGATATCTCTGAATCCATCCTTACACCAGCTCCCGACTTTTCAACCTCATCTCTGAATTTGAAAAAGGCTTCTTTTGTGAATAATTTAGACGCACTCTTCTGAAGTGAGACTAATATATTAGACGTTATTGTCCGTTCACGATGGATGGACTCAAAATCAGCTTATTGCTCCATCTCCCTCATATCCCTAGCCCAACGATCAAAATGAATAAAGAACTCAAGTAGATTATGATTGTTTTCGATATACTTGGTAAGCTGAGAGTTCATTCCTTCACATCTAGACGTTGTTGACAAGCCTGCAAAGAACTTTGAGCGCAAGTATGTATACCCCCATTTAGTTCTTTGGTCAAATAGATGTGAAACCCAATTGTTATGCTGCTGTGAGCACTCCTCGACCATTGTTTTCCACTTCTCTTCAAATACTGAAGGTTCCCAATCAGCTGACACGAAATGTTTCCATTGTGGCAAGAAGTTAGGATTGTCCCTCACTTTTCTGGCAATAGTTTTGTCTATGTGCCAAGCACATAAACGATGTGTCGCATCGGGGAATACTTGCTGAATTGCATTGCGCATGGCTTTATCTCCATCTGTAACAACAGTTTTAGGATCTACACCGCCCAACCTTCTCCTCAAGGCATCTAGAACCCATACATAGTTTTCTTCTTTCTCATTTGCCAAAAATGAACATCCAAATATGCAACTGTTGAAGTGGTGGTTCACACCTAAAAAATAAACAGGTTATTAAAATTACTTCACTAATAAGACAAGAATTACACTGTACCCATAACGCATGGAAGTGATATTGCATTAGGCTCTTTAACGTGTGGTATTAAGTTTCAATGAATAAATTCTTTATACTTTATAGGAATGAAAATATAAGTTACTATGAACCGAAAATAAAAGAATTAGTACCTAAAAAAATGACTAGAGGCATATTGTAGACGTTCTTTTTGTAAGTTGCATCGAAAGCCAATAATTCTCCAAAGCATGCATAATCAGCCAATGAAATACTATATGCCCAGAACAAGTTAACAAGCCTGTCTTCATCGTCTTTTTTTAGCTCAATTACGAACTGTTCATCCGCACTTAGTTTCGCCTGTAGGTAAGCTAGTGCTGTCGCAGCATCACCATCACTAATCTGTTGCTTCCGATCTTTGTCCACGTAATTATACGCATCTTTCCTCGTGAACCCCATCTTGCTATAGCCTCCTGCCTCTGCAACCGCTAGTGAAACAATCTGTGATGTTTTCATTCCTGCAGCTCTCCGGAAATTGATTGCTGCTTTAACTGCATCACTCAACTGTCGATTCCCTTTCATGTAGTGTCGGTATATTTTTGGAACCGTTACGTGAGAGTGCACGTTATGAAAGGTATCCACAAACCACTTCCCATCTGACTTGTCTAGTCGTACACGAATCCTAGCTTTGCAGTCAAATCTCGTCTCTCCTTTTGGTTCCCTCTTTCGTTCACCCTTTCGGTCGCGCTTTGTTCCTTGACCAGAACATACAAACCGACGCCATATCATGACCTTGTCTTTATCTCGGCCAATATCTTCTTTCCTGACGTCAAAGCCGGTGACCAGCCCATAGTTCCTCCAAAAATCATAGGCTTCTTCAGTGTTAGCGAATCTTAGCTTCTCGATATCTTCTTGCTGTAGAAGTAAGAGATCGGCAAGATCATCATCTTCTACCTCTGAACTTTGGTGAACGTTGTGAATAGTTGAACCGTTACTGTTGTTAATATCTTCATTGTTTTCCACTTCGACGATTTCATCGTCTTCCATGATCGTCGCGCTTGTGATTGTCCAAGCCAACTAACCCTAAGTAGCCAAAGTAGTACTAAGGAACTAGCCTCTCCGCTGGCGCTTCATATGAAAAACCTAACGAATGTTGTATATAAGCTGTGAAATTAAATCCTTGTTTTTAACAAAACAATTTGGGTCAAAACATCCATGGGCTGGACTGAATTCGTTTGGCCTATTTAAATAAAACTAGTGGGCCTAAATAACCTCCTTGGTTCGCATAACCAAGCCTGCCGCGGGAAGCCTAGATCACTCTTAATTTATTGGTTGAAAATGGGCCAAACGTGAATTCATAAACTGGCGGAGCCACAACCAACCAAGGAGGTTAAATTGGCATCGTCTTCTTCCCTTCTTCCATCTGCTTTCATGGTCTTGTCTTTTCGAACCTTAAAACCCTAAAATGAAGCCCCTAATCGGTTTAATGAGGTGGATAAATATAGAAGTTCACACGTAACTAGTTAATTCCTTATTAAGTTCATTTAATGAGGTGGATAAATATAGAAGTTCCCACATATAAAAAAACTCTAATTGATCTCTCACGGGTTTTCCTAATAGATGAGGTTAAACACCCCTCTGGCGCATCTATTAATATGGCCAAACATCTTGCCCAAAACTCATTCAACTAAAAGTAGCGCAGAGGCCCTTTGGTCAACATTGTGTCTGTAACATTATGGGGAAGGAAGGGTAAGTTCTGCAATCCGCTAATGTGTTTTCTTTAACTTTTTAGTCAGCTATTTCGTTGTATTTGTTCTTATATTCCACTCTCTCGTTGCTTTTTTGTACAATTATATTAGGGAGAAGAACAAGATGACGAGCGGCCAGTCTACTGTACGCCTAACGCGTTCTCTAGCCAAGTCTATGGTTCGTCCAGGAGCTTTAACAGTAGGTTATTTATACAAAACTTATTCTGACTTGATTGTTCATTATTGTAGGAATTGGAGAACTATGTTTCTCCTGCAAAGAAAACAAGAATGCAAGACGTCATCCCCCCACCTACACCCGACTCGAAGGTGATTGTTCTTGATGCTGAACCAGGGCTGGAACATTATGAGCTAGGTGTGCAAAACAAACCCCTCACGCCTCCACAAAAATTGTCAATGAAGGTATGTAATCCTAGTGATGTACATATGCTTCCTTTTCGCCCACTATTTCCGTTGTTTTCCTTCGTTCCTTTCTCCGCCACTTGTAATCCTAGTGAAAACCTCTTCTTATTTCCTCTATTTGTTCGTTCTCCATGATTGAAGGATACCACAAGGTTTGAGCTCCCTACAGCCGTCAACTACAGTGACGAAGAAGTGAGTTTTGCTCACTATATATTTGCAGAAGACCTTCCTCCTGATGAAGCTTTGGTCAAAACAATGATGAAATCATATACCAGGCAGACATTATGGAGCTTATGCCCCGAGTCAAGCGTTGATGCTGATGTAAGTACTTCTGCGAAAAGCCCCTAGTTGACCTGAACGTGCTTAACGATTTTTAATCATTGGATTTTATTTCTATTGTGTTTTAGGTAATTACAGCGTTAGCATGCCACTTGACCTTGGACGAAGTTAAAAGCGATACTGGTCGTGGAAGAGGAGTGTGCTTTCTGCCTACGGAATTGCAGGTAAGTGTTGCTTTTGCTTTGTAATTCTAATTCAGTTTACACAGGGTTGGTTGTTTATTAAGTAAGATTAGTGTTCAATGATTTAACTTCATTTTCCTACCAGGATATGGTCGTTAATTATGGCATGACATCTGCAAAGGCATTAGAGTTATATGATACAAAATTCCTATCAAAAGCTCATAACTGTAGAAAGGTTATGACTTCTCCACAATTCTTCCTTCTCATTTCTGCTTATTTAGTAGCGGTTTTCACAACATATGTGCGCGTGAATTATGCCTGCCCTTCTGCTTAATTTCTTGAATGAATTATGTCGGAAAACTAATTAGTTAATTGGATTGTTTTCTCGTACCTGTGAAGGTTTGTCTTCCCATGAAAGATATGATGAATGATGAAGGCATCCACTGGTATTTAGCTATAATTTTGATGGACCAGAAACAAGTACACATTCTGGATTCATGCCCATCAAAAGAGCGCCAGACAATCCGTAGGAATGCAGTTAACACAATGGTATAGTTAAAATTTGCGCCATTGAATACATACTTCAATACACGTGTTTGTAATTCAATTATGTGGCATTATATTTTCCAACAAAATTTTGTAATTCATAGGTTACTTTTTGAACGTTGTAGATTGAATTTCTGAACGACTTGTTCGATGCCTTACACAAGGAAGTTCAATCAACATGTGCACCACCACAGATTAAGGAGTTTTCTTTGACCACTCCTGAAGTTCCTACACAACGACACAAGTAAGAATGTATATTTGGTCATAATTTCACTAGAAAAATAAATATTTGTGTCTTACGTAATGCATCTTTCTAAACAGGAATGATAGTGGGATCTGGGTTTGTGTGTGGATGATGGGATCAACTTGGGATGATGACTATTATATTTGGGTAAGAAAGCACCTATTACCTAGGCCCATTTATTTCTACGAGCACATTAAAAAAACTATGTCAACTATTGTATTAATACGTTATATTTTCTGTCCTTACAGCCATGCAATCATTTGAGAAGAATGCAGGTGGCATTGTACCTAGTCAAAGAGCCTACCAATTACATAAGACACAAGGTGCTCAAGAAAGCAAATCAGAATGCGCCTAGGTTTGAAGCTCAGACACTTGAGTACAAAATAGCTTCCCAAGAGAGGAAAGCAGGTTCCCAGAAGAGGCTAATTCAGGAAAGCAGCTTCCCAGAAGAGGCGAATTCAGGGCTCAAGGATATCTAGTCGCATAGTGTGTTCTGCTAAAACATTTTAGCATTTAGTTTTGTTTCTTCCTTTCCAACAAATGCCCTATTTATGGTAACGATTTAAGGATATCTAGTCGCATAGTGTGTTCTGCTAAAACATTTTAGCATTTAGTTTTGTTTCTTCCTTTCCAACGAATGGCCTCTTTATGGTAACGATTTAAGGATATCTAGTCGCATAGTGTGTTCTGCTAAAACATTTTAGCATTTAGTTTTGTTTCTTCCTTTCCAACGAATGCCCTCTTTATGGTAACGATTTAAGGACACGTTTATTATTCAGCCGAATAAACACAAGTACACAGCTAGAGGCTAGTTTGCCAAACAGAAATGGAACCGCTACAGTAATCTCACATTGCAGACAGATAGCCAAAATAGCAGCAACCGAAACAGCAACCTCTGAGATTCGCATAAAAACTAATAGAGATAAACTGGCCAGATTACTTGCCTCGGGAAACTTATTCCCATCACGTCTTCACGAAGTAACCCATCGAAATTTGCTGGAGGATCGTCCAACAACCAGCCCAATCAAGTGGACCCTTAAACCATTTTTCAATAAAGATGGAAGAACCCGAAACATGATTAAAAGCATCACTAGTGAAGAATGTGGCTAAAATTGAATTAGGAACTTATAGTCATTTCTCGTGGTGACTAAAATGAAAGAGGTCACATATCGTCCATTCAAATAATATTTGTCTGAGCTCAACCAAACTTGAGTTGCTCCCCCTATAAATGTAATCACCCTCTTGTTTCTTCATATCTTCTTCAGACAACTTATCAACTGTGCTAAACATGAAACTATCAAGATCGACTTCCTTGTTCCTCGGATCCATTCTGAACTGGAAAAAGAAAACCACCAAACAAGCTCCTCAACAGATCATGTCAAAGACTACTGAAAGAATGGACCAAAAACACACATGATCCTGGAAAGGGACATCTTAAGCACCTAATTCCGATACACATTAACTCGGTTTATCATCAATGCATAAAACCGTCACCACAATTCGTCAAAACCCTTACCTTGTCAAAGTTAACCACGAAGATAGAAGCAGGAATGGGCCTGTCGGGGTCTCTGTTTAGTTCGAACCCCACGGTTTCAGTGTAAAAAAATGTAGGAATAGAATTTTTGAAATACAGACTCCACAGCTGTAGCCTCCGCTTCAAACAACGAGACCTCTCTTCCCAAATCAGTCTACAATACACCTCATCCATATCAAAGATCCATCCAAAATCACAGCATTGTAGTTTGAAAATCATTTTCGGCAATTTCAATTCAAAATCCCTTTCTTACCTCCCTAGCAGATCCTGAAGGAACCATGGCCTCTTTCATTGCCTTCTCCAGTGCAATCATCTCCGCCTGCCCGGCTGTTTACACAAGTGAATTACTCATACAAGCAACAATTAGTTTTCATTCAAAGGGATGGGGGTGCTTATGCTTGCACAGCTTGACGCCGAGATTACCTGCGATATTCTGCCAGTTTAGGGTTCAAACAATCGATTGGGAGGAATCATAGGACATGTGGGAAATATAACAGTCGAGAATGGGAAAACGAAGAAGAATAAGAGGAGGAAACAGAGTGGTTCAATTATCGCTGCCATTTTCTGAGACAGCTGGGATGATTTACAGGAGTAGGGAGGAAGAACAGGGTTATTCCCAATTCGAACAGAAAAATGGAGAAGAGAGAAGGTCCAAGGTCGGGATTTGGAGGAGAGTGGTAGGGCTGCGGGTGGGGCAAGGTAGGTGTCCTTTCTCTTAGGGTGGTTGGATTTTGGGTCAATTCAATAACTGAACAGGACCAACCCGATTTGGTTTACAATGGACTAAAATGAAAGAAAAACTAATTCTATGAGTTGATCTGTAATTTTATTTAATATAAATTCCGAAAAAACAAATCATTTAATAAAATTTAATCTCAGTCGTCGAGATCACACGTACGATCAAGATCACCCAAGGTACCAGGGTCGGCCCATGATATTCTGAGGCCCTGTTCGAAAATAAAAATGTGGCCCTAAATTTTTTTCAAGCACCACTAGACAATCAACTAATCCAAATTTCCAAGCAAAATCTCTGAAAAAAAACATAAAATTGGTTAGGAACTTAGAATGATCACTCAGCCCAAAACAAAATTAGGCAACCCATTCCAATTTAGGCCAACCCATTCCAATTTCGACCCGGCCTGGCGGCCCCATTCCTTCTCTCCATTCGGCATCTCCAATCAGCAACAGAAGCAGAGTACGAAGAACATAAGAAGAACAGAGTCTCCAAAATCCAGTAGACAACACACAAGGAATAAACAAAAGACAAGACATGGGCACAAAATTCTTATCGATTAACGAACTACGACGGAGAGACGGAAGTCGCCAAGTCGGAAACAGGGGAAGAAGGCAAGCGCCGAGCGGGACTGCGGGAGCGCCGGAGCGGTAAAGTCGGAGTAAGAGATAGATTTCGTCGGTGGAATGAAAATGGAAGGAAGAATCTGCCAATTTGGGCGGATGCTTTGCTTCACCTTCTTGGCTGAGTATTTTAGGGGAAGGATTGGGTTGATTATGAAGAATTAAAGATTAACATTGATTTAGAGACGTTGCTTTCTTTTGGGAAGGTGAGAAATTTGGGGAAGGGAAATTTGGGGAAGGGGAGATTACGATTTATGAGATTTGAGAAAGAGAAGGGAATAAGGAGGCTGGAGGAGCAGGCTGGATGAGGGCCTCTGCCGATTCGTTTTCTCAGGTTAAATTTTTTTTTTTTATATATATGTATATTAGTGTATGGGCCAAGCTGAGGTCCCAAATATTTTGAGGCCCTGTGCTGTGGGTCAGACCAGCACAGGGTCTGGGTCGGGCCTGCAAGGTATGCCATACCCCAGAATTTACTCGGGGTACGATAGAAGCCACCATATATATATATATATGTATATATATATATGGTTATGTCTTCGGTGCACTCACTTTTTTGGGTTCATTCAATGCACCCGCCTCATAATCGTCATTCTGAGCAGGCTATTCATGTGAAAACGATGTCAATCATCACTTGTGGTATGATGAGCAAGAACCACATGAATTTGTACAAAAAATCATTCAAGATTCACTTTAATTTGAATGATTCAGGGTTTAGGAATTTAGCGTTAGGGTTAGGGTTTACAATTTGAGATTTTGGGTTGAGATTCAAAATTGAAGGTTAATAGGTCAGGGTAATGGGTTGATTAGTTGGGAATATATGTTATATCATCATATTAGACTAATACAACCCATTAAATTTCAAAATTTAATGTATTATAACCACTTTTAGAGGTGGGTGCACTGAATGCACCCAAAAAAGTGAGTGCACCGAAGTAGCCACCTATATATATATATATGGTGCCTTCTACGGTACCCTGGGTGAAATCCGGGGTAACGCATACCTTAAGTATGAAAACGCTATCTAGACCTCGAATTAGCAGGATTTTTGGGCAATGATACTATACCCTAACCCTTATTGAGTGAACCCTAGTTCCTAATTATCTAAATCATAAACTATAAACCCTAAGATGGTGCATTCATTTTTTGCCTATATTTGGACGAATCATAACCGTCGATTATTGTTTCTAATTAAATTGATCTTGGGGTATAAGATTTAGATAAATAAGACCTAGATTTTGATCTTCAAGGGTTAGAGTATAGTATCATGTCCGAAAGATCAGACAATTCAAGCTCTGGATAGCGTTTTCATACTCAAGGTATGCGGTACCCCGAATTCCACCCTGGGTACCGTAGAACTCGCCATATATATATATAGGTGACTACTTCGGTGCACTCACAAAAATGAGTGCGTTCAATGCACCCAACTCAAAAACTAGTCTTAAGGTGTCGGATTTTGAATTTTAATTTTTAGAATTAGTGTAATATGATGATATAACATATGATAACAACTAATTAATATATTACCCTAACCCCTAGACCTCCAATTTTGAATTCTATCACTAAACCCCAAATTGCAAACCCTAACCCTAAATCTCTAAACTCTAAATCTTTCAAATTAAAGTAAATCTTGAATGGTATTTGTGCAAATTCATGTGCTTTATTGTTCATCACATAATAAGTGATGATTGATACCGTTTTGACATGAATCACATGTTTAAAATGACGGTTATGAAGCGAGTGCACTGAATGCACTAAAAAAAGTGAGTGCATTTAAGACTAGGCGTGGAAATCGGTACGGTATCGGTATCCCAATACCAAATGCCGAAATCCTGAATACCGAATTATATTCGAAAGTCAATCCCAATCCCTAAATATTCCGTTATCCCAATCGGTACTTCGGTATCCCAATCTGTTTTATCGAATACTAAATAAATTATACTTTGAAATAAATGATTAAATATATAAATTAGATTTGATTGTTTAATTTAGAGCAAAGGACTACACAAAGAGTTTGAGTTTGTCTAGAGCTAGGACATGGATTAGGAGAATGAAAGAGAGGTGACATCTCAAGTTCTTGTCATTGGTAATCTTTAATTTACCGAATTGAAAGTTGAGAGACGACTAATACTAGTGTTTGCTTTTTGGTGTTGTGAAAATAACAAGTTATGAGGTGAGAGATGATAGTGACTTAAATTCGAAAGTCAAAATTGAGTTGGATGGAGACTTTTGAATTGTGAAACAAAGATGAAATTATTCATGTATAATTAAATGACACTCTTGGTGGTTGAGGGTTGGGTAGTAGTGAATGAGAGAAGTCTATTTGAGAGAAAAAACACACACCAGCTTATATTTCGGTATTGATCGGTATTTCTGTATATACCGATCCCAATCCCGTAATCCCTAATACCGAATTACAATAGAAATTCAATCCCAATCCCAAAAAATAATACGTGTATTCGGTAATAACAAATATAGACAAATTCGGTACGGTATTCGGTATATCCTAAATACCGGTACCCAACTTCCACCCCTACTTAAGACGCCACCATATATATGGTGCCGTATTGGCGCACTCACATTTTTTAGTGCATTCAATGCACTCTCCTCATAATCGTCATTCCGAGCATGCGATTCATGTCAAAACGATATCAATCGTCGCTTGTGATAATATGAACAAAAAACACATGAATGTGTAAAAAAAACTCATTCAAGATTTACTTTAATTTGAAGGATTTTGGATTTAGGGGTTTAGGGCTTAGGTTTTCAATTTAGGGTTTTGGGTTGGGATTCAAAATTAAAGGTTAAGGGGTTAGGTTAATAGATTGATTAGTTGTGTTTCTATGTTATATCATCACATTAGACTATTACTACCAATTAAAGTTAAAAAATTGATGTATTAAGACCACTAGTAGAGTTCAATGCACCCAAAAAAGTGTGTGAACGAAGTAGCCACTATACATATATAGTGACTTCTATATCATACACCAGACATATATTGGGGCATGTCGTACACCAGCAATCTCTACCGTCCACGTCCATCTCAACGACCAACATTAATGCGGATTCTACATCCATATTTAAATAAAATATAACATTTCAAACAAAATGAAAAAATTCGTATTTAATAGCAACATTGAACGCCAACATCCAAAAATTATATTTAAATCCAACAAATAACATAAACATCTAAATATTCATACTTGAATCCAATAAATAACATCAACATTTAACTTTCAACTCAAAGAAACAAATCAAAGAAACAACTCAGATGAAAAATATTCATATTTAATGTCATATTTAGTCACTCTCCTATTAGCCTTCGTACAACTCCGGTCACTCGAATTACTGAAACATGTCACATTTAGTCACTCGAATTACTGAAACAGGAGAGTGACTAAATGTGACCTATTTTAGTAATTCGAGTGACCAAAATTGATATTAATTTTTTCTAGTGACTAAACATGACATAATTTAATAAACTCAGTGACCAAATGTGGCATTCACCCTAAATTAAATTCACCAAAATGACATAATTTGTTTAAACTTTAAAGATAGAAAATCGATCATACCGAGAACCAAAGATTGAAATACCGTACCGGAGGTTGTACCGGAAAAGTCAGCGGTATGGTATTTTATGGTAAAATTGTGGTTTAACCATGATTCAACCGCTTAATACCGCTGGTACAATACGATATTTTCTGGTCGAACTGCCAATACGATACGGTATTTCAATCCTTGTTGAGAACATTTCAACCGGTTTTCTAATCTGTAATAGTTGAACCCGGTTCTACCAGAGTACCACTGGCCTGACAAGTTGACAACCATGATTAAAACTTAGGGTAAATGACACATTTGGTCACTGAGATTACTAAATCGTGTCATATTTAGTCACTAGAAAAATTTAATATCAATTTTGGTCACTCGAATTACTGACACAGGTCACATTTGGTCACTCTTCTGTAGCATCTGTCCAACTCCGGTCACTCGAATTATTGAAAAATGTCACATTTAGTCACTCGTATTACTGAAACATGTCACATTTAGTCACTCTCCCAAAAGTTTCCGTCCAACTACATTAATAGAGTTGGACGGAAACTGACGGGAGAGTGACTAAATTTGACCAGTTTCGGTAATTCGAGTGACCAAAATTGATATTAATTTTTTCTAGTGACTAAACATGACACAATTTAATAATCTCAGTGACCAAATGTGTCATTTACCCTTAAAACTTACAAGTTAAACCCGAGTCGGCTCCAGCTCATCTGCACTCGCTTGCGTTGCGTCTTGCGTGTCGTTCTGCTCCAATCTAAAACGCCCTCCGTTTCCTCACACTTACTGTCCTCTCATTTATCTCTAGGGTTTCTTCTCTTTCTACGAGCTCAGACATGGCCGACGAATCCCACTACTCCGCCGCGGACACCGGAACGGCCACCGTCACTCCTAACAAGCGCAAGTACGATGACCAAACGACCACTGGTCGTCGCCATACGGGTTTCTCTTCGCCGGACTCTTCAGCCCCTCCTTCTTACAATAATGTCCCACCGCCTGCCGATGAGATCCAGATGGCCAAGCAGAAAGCTCAGGAGATCGCCGCGCGTTTCTTGAGTGCCGCCGCTGGAGGCGCTCCTGTGGATAATAAGCGTCCTAGAGTTGAGAATGGGGGCAGCGGTTTTGATTCCAATGAAAAGGGCTTTAGCTCTGGTACGCATGGTTGACTCTATTGTTTCGATAGCTATCTTGAATTCATTTGTTATTGCGTCTTGTTTCGGAATTTATCAACTATAGTATCTGTTCCTTGTGTCAAATCAGCTCCGTCGAGCGTTCCTGCTTCCTATGGTTCTTTTATGGGCGGTACAAGCAAAAGAATTGAAATACCAAATGGAAGGGTTGGTGTTATCATTGGCAAAAGTGGAGAGACTATCAAATTTCTTCAAGCAAAATCTGGGGCGAAGATTCAAGTAACGCGAGATCTGGATGCCGACCCCAATTCGCCAACTAGAGCTGTAGAGCTTGTTGGTACTCCTGAACAAATTGAAACAGCAGAACGGTTGATTAATGATGTTCTTGCTGAGGTAGGCTCTTCTTGACATGAGTTGCAGGTTTCGCTTTAAATTAGTTTTCTGCAAAATGGCTTAGTAGTTCTGCAATGCTTAGCAATACGCTTCCATGGGATTCCTTGTGTCAATTGTTTATACTGCGCTATTGATGCTGAAACCAGCTGAAAGGCTCTGCTCGACAAGAGTTGCAGGTTTCGCTTTAAATTAGTTTTCTGCAAATGGCTAAGTAGTTCTGCCATGCTTAGCAATACGCTTCCATTTGATTCCTGTATCAATTTTTATACTGTGCTATTGATGCTGAAACCTGCTGAAAAGAGAATCGCCTTGTTACCAGCTAAGATGTTGGATATTTTACACAGGCTGATGCTGGAGGTTCTGGTACAGTTTCTCGAAGGCAAGGGGGACAGGGCGGCGGCGGGGGCGGTGATCATTTTGTCATGAAAATCCCGAATAACAAGGTATGTGGGCTTTGTTACTGTTGAATGCTCTTGTAGTTGCTTTAGTGCAGATTGGTTGCATTGTGCACATGATTGCAGGTTGGTCTGGTAATTGGCAAAGGAGGCGAGACAATTAAGAGCATGCAAGCTAGGACTGGTGCTCGCATTCAGGTACAACTTATAATATGGCTACTTTCTCGTGCTTTCTTTTGATTGCATTTCAACCCATTGGTATTCTGCACATGGCTTCATTTGGCTTTGTGCAAGTCCAATTGAATTTGAATTTGGCTACTTTCTTGTGCTTTCTTTTGATTGCACTTCAACCGATTGTTATTCTGTATATGGTTTCATTTGGCTTTATGCAAGTCCAATTGAATTAGAGGCCTGTAATTCTGGCAGGTGATACCTTTGCATCTCCCCCCTGGTGATACCACATCAGATAGGAATGTACATATAGATGGAACAAGTGACCAGGTTGAGGCGGCAAAACAGTTGGTCAATGAAGTGATCAGTGAGGTATGTGTTGTTGTTTCCTGGTCATTGAAGGAGAACTCCCGCCTATTCTTTTGATAGTTCACTGTTTGTCACAGCAATATGATGTCTTCATAATTTACCTGAAAATCTGATTAATGTACTTGCAATGTTCACATCTTCCTTTACAATTTGAAATGTTCTTGAAGATGTACTTTATAACTATACTAGCAGAAATTATGGGTTCTCTATTTTTCAGTTAAAGTATAACGTGTTATGTATCCTTCTAACGGGGTCGGTTTAGTATCATTGAAAATGATATGCATTGATGAGTTGTAAGTATAATGTGTTATGTCTGTTTATAGCTTGCTACCTAAGTATCTGTTTGGACCTTAACCTTTTCATACCCGCTGTATATATAGTTGGTTTTATTATTAGCCAACTTAATGATATTGGATATCTCTTCTAACTGTTTACATTTTGTGCTCAGTATTGTCAAGGCATTAACCATAAATTGCTGTTCACTTTGAAAATGGATTACAATTTCAGTTATTGCAAATGCTTTTAACTTTTCAAGATTCAGAAAGTTGCATATTGAGCTTTGATAATGTCAGCCTGGAAAATACTTGAAAGAATGATATTTTGCTTTTAACTTGGTTTTATATCATGGAAATGATATGCATTGATGATCCTTTCTGTATTTCTTCATGTCTTCTTGTAGCTTGCTATCTGTTTGGACCTTAATCTTTTCATACCTGCTGTATGTAGAGTTGGTTTTATTATTAGCCATTTATTGCAAATGCTTTTAACTTTTCAAGATTCAGAAGGTTGTGGATTGAGCTTCATATTTAGCTTTTGTCGTTGTCAGCCTGGAAAGGAGTGAAAGAATGATACATAGCTTTTAATTTCCATCTCATTGGTTCTTATGAGTTTTTAATTATACACTTTTATATCGTGACATATGAATCAGAGGACAATGCAATATTGCTGCTTGATAGTCTTGCATAGATAAAACGCCAGTTTATGTGACTAATGTACTTCATTTGTTTGTGACTTGCAAACTGCTGAATGTCCTTAATGATCTGTGCTGTAAATCTCTTACAGATCTGGACCTACACGGTAGTTATATGTTAAGAATTAAGACACCATAGTTTGAGGTCAAGTGAGTTTTTGAGAATTGCCAAGCGTGTAGTGATTATGATATTGTTGTCTTTAAGCTGCAAATGCATTACTGAAGATTAGATGTCGAGCATTTGAAGTGATAGATTTTGTTTGAGATATTTTGAAGGGTTGATTTGTCTCCTTGGATGTGTGCCCAAGTGAATAGTTCGGGTTAGTAGTTTCTTCTGCTTCCTTATTTTGCTTTGCCAATGTGTCATATCGCTTCCATTGCTGGAACTGCTGTTAGGTTACTGTTGCAACCAATACAGAATTCTTTCTGTTGGTTATGCCAGCGACCTTACCCTGGTATGGTTCTCAACCCTGCCAATAATATGTAGCATCTGAAGATATGTTGCTAGGTTGGGAATTTTTTTAATCCTGGAACATGCATTAGCTCTTCTTTGTTTAGTAGTTGTCCCTCTGTTATATTACTAACTTGTTCATGCTGGCTAATATGTCCTGTAAATTCCATCCCTTGGTCTCCATGACTGGTCACCTCATTTGTTATTCTGGTTTACTGGGTTCTTAGTGGTTGTTACAAAACTACCCACTGATAAGTGATTAGGTTTTGATCACCCTCCTTCCTGTATTGCATAGGCCTCGCTTTCTCTAATTCCCTTTAGTCGTGAATTTTGACTTGCTTCACCTTCTGTTAGCCCCCAGTTTCATTATAATCATTGATTTCTTGGCAAGTGAATGTAAATGTTGTCATTTCGTTAACTTCTATTAGTCATTGGTATATTCTGCTTATTCTCGTGTTCAAGTTGACATGATCTCTGCTATTAGATTAGCTTGTCGCTTTGAGGTTTGCTTCAGGTTGCTTGTCCTGTACTTGGATTGTGGTCAATCATGTGGAAGGATTTTTTTGTCTGTATACTACCATACTTTTAGAATTCTTCCTTTCTGTTTGTAAATAGTATTTCAGAACAGCATAAGCTGTACTGGGTTTCCGAAGTTTGGAGATACTGTGGTGATGGACTCTTTTGGTACTTTTTTGTGGAACTAAATATAATGTGCCATAGTCTGATAGCGGGAGTGAATAATTTTTGTTGTATCATATAAATATCAATAGAAGGTCATTGCCACATGGACCACCTTATTTTTGCAGACGGAAATTTTGTGTATTTGTACATTTTTTGCGCCTATTCATTTTTAAAGTAGGGAGAGTGTGAGCTTCTGCTGGAGTAACTTCCACCAACGAAGTACGGTATGTAGGTAATCCTACCCCCTTCATAATGGAATATGAAATTCATGCCCTGTGTAAGGAAGTTGGCTGTTTATTATGCTGTTTTATTGAGATTTCTTGATGTCGCACTTGGTTTCTGCTCCTAGTTTGTTATATAGCAATCTTATCTGTTTCACATATAGCCTGTATGCAGTAATCTTGAGAATTTCTCGTCATTCATCTTGTATTGGGATTTTGTTTTGTAGAATCGCATGAGGAATTCATCAATGAGTGGAGGATATGGTCAGCAAGGTTATCAAACACGACCACCTGCAAACTGGGGCCCGCCTGGTGGGGCAGCGCAGCAACCAGGATATGGTGGGTACGGGCAGCCTGGACCATATGCAGGCGCATCGGGACAGTACAATATGCCCCAGCCACCATATGGGGGATATCCTACTCAGCCATCATCTGGTGGGTACCCTGCTGGATGGGACCAGTCAACTCAGCCGACGAGTCAAGGTTATGATTACTATAGTCAGCCACCGTCTTCGCAGCAACCACCAGCCTCTGGTGGTCCACCGCCACCTGCGGCAGCAGCAGCGGCAGCAGAAAATTCTGGTGGCTATGGTTACAACAGTCAGCAGCCACACTCGGGTTATAATCAACAAGGGCAAGGTTATGGTCAAGATGGGTATGGTGGATATCCTCAGTCGGGTTATGGCCAGCCACAAGCATATGATCAGCAGCAGCAGCAGCAGGGGGGCTATACTACTGCTCCCAGCTATGGTCAAGAAGGCCACAGTTCCTCCTATGGTGGTGGACAAGGAGAGTCGGCTCCTCAACCGTCTTCTGCGGTTCAGCAGCAAGGCTATGGTTCTGTCCCAAATCCAGCAAGTTACAACCCTCCGCAGGGAGCTACTAGTCAATCAGGAGGATATGTGATGCCACAACCATCTGGCTACGGGAGTCATCATCTAACAGCTCAACCTGGATACGGATCTAGCTATGGACCTCCTCCAGCACAAAAGCCTCAAGTGGCGAACCCATTATCTGCTTATGGACAAACCGCCCAACAACAACAATCACCTTCTGGAGGAGGCTCATACAGCCAGTCGGTTCCTCAGCCAGGAGGATATCCAAATTCACAGCCGCCACTGCCTCCGCCAGCACAATCATCGGGTTATGGCAGTGCTGTTGCTGCACAGCCAGGATATGGTCCATCATATGGGGCACCTCTAGCTCCGAGTCAACCAGGATATGGTCCTCCTTACGGCGCCCCTTATAGTAGTCAACAGCCAGGAGGGTATCCTACTGATGGCAATCTTAGCTCCAATGCAGGAGTTGCAACTGCAGCGGCAGTATCAGTTCCGCCGCCTGGACCACCTTCCCAGCCTGTGCAACAAAGTGGAGTTACAAAAGCATCTCCTAAGAGTTGATACTGACAGCAATGCTTTGTGCTTCAGATAATCAACTACCCTCTGCCCTGCCTTGGTGGTGTGTTTTCCTTGCTAAATGCTATGGATAGTATACTAGGGAGGGTTTTGTAGCGTGTTATATACTCTTATGTCAGACTTTCCTTTTATCTGCTAGTGTTTATTTTGTAGTAGACCGTTGGATGCTTTGAAATTTCTATTTGGCTTGCGAGATAGTATTTGCTCCCATCTGTTCAACCTTTCTGATTGTCAGTTCAAGCATCAAGCCAAACTGGGTTTTCTCATTGGCTCTATTCTCGCCTTATCAAGAAATGAATGGATGAATAATTTTGCTATGTTATGTCTTAGGTAGGGGTTTGTAATCGACCGGGTCAAAGAAACACGGTCCAATAGTGAAAAACATTTTTGAAAAACATTTTAGAATTATGGATAAGATTAATAGTGCATTTGGTTAGTTTTGGTTCGATCCAAATGTTAGTTCAATTCATTTTTCAGTATTTATAATATTTATGACATCAAGGACCGAATTAAATTATATTTGTTTCGGTATAATTCAGTTCAAGTGTCGATTTAAAATCAATTTGTTTAAATGTCGATTTGATTCAATGGGATTTTGTAGCACACCCCTAATCTTAATCTTGGGGAAATGGATCAAGTTCAACTGCAAAGTTCTTTACATCTGAAGTTGACAATAAATACTTGACTAGGGCCTCTCACCTACCATGTTCGCCAGAGCTAATTGTTTTCGTGTCGATGACGGTTTGAGTTCAAGTCCTTAAGCCTCATTTCTTATGAAAAATCTTAAAGCCTTCCTATTGGCTGATAGTGGATTAGGTAGTTAATGGGAGTTAGTAGTTAATAGGTAGTTAAGAGTAAATAGGGTTATGCAAATATAATTAATATAATTAATTAATGATTCTCTTTCTCTCTCCTCCCATGATTTTCTCCATAACCCTCTCTACATTATAATTAAAAAGAAATATGAAATTAATTTTATTTAATATTTAATAAAATCCGAATTTAATTATTTTCTTTTTCTAAAATGGAAATTTGAAATTTAAAATATATGCCTCTCTCACATCTTGGCAACTTCCGATTAGTATTAATTATTAACATTTTGTAATGACATTATCAATATTTATAAATTGAATCATCATTAGGGCTTTTCATTGCATGTGTTTGAGATTTTTCGTTGTTAGGTATTCGTTTGTGTTATTATTAATGTTGTTCGACATGTTTTTTAAATAATTTTATATGAAATTATTAACTTTTTATGTTATATTTTGTGTGTAACATTAGCAAAAGTGAAATTGTGTTTTCAATTTGTTGGTACTTGAAGTTTATTTACTATTACATCGTATTATCAATTTGGTTCGCAATGATTTATAATCATTTGAAGTGCTATTATCAATGGTTTTTTTTCAAGCACGATACAACCATTAGCAAAAATTTATTTCATTTGAAAGATTGCTTATGTTTAGTGATTTGAATTATTAATATTTTTTCGTTTATGTTTGTAACTTTTTCAAATGTCATTATCAAGAAGGATACTTATTAGATATTCGTTTGTTTATGACATTATCAAAAGTGAATTTACGTTTAATGATATAACTATGGTTATTAATATTTCAATCTAAGTTAGTAACGTAGTTGGTGTCATTATTAATAGGCGTGTATAAGCATTATCAATGTTTGAAAATAATATATTAATAATATCTAATAAGGTACTTAACAATCATTAGTTGCTATCATTATCAAAGTTTTAGTTGCGATCATGTTACTTATTAATGCGTTTTTAGTGCTATTTGACATTAAACATTGCATCTGAATATTATTAATATTTTTTATTACAAAAATCTATTTCCTTATCAGTGACTTGATCATTCGATATTAATGGTTTTTAATATATTTATTAAAAGTTTGATGTCATTTATAATATTGAAGTCGGACATTTTTACATTGATGTTTTGTGTTTATTTTCAACAAAATATTTTCGTTATCATGTTATTAAAAGTTTGGTGTTGAGGCGTGAATGCTGGTTTGCTTGAGCTAATATTTTTCTGGACAATGTTTGTTTGACTGAATCACACAGGTGCACTATGTCACACGTACCCAAGATGTTGAAAATCAGTATTGTGCTTTATGATCATTGAGAATGATAATGTAAAGCAATATTAATTGATCATAAAACGTTAATAATGTCATTAGAAATCATTGGAAGAGACCATGACTAGATAGTTATAAACATTATGTGAAAATGTGAATCATTAGTACTAAAGATGTTGTAAATCATTGATATTGTTATTCAAACTATTAATGACTATGTTACATAACTTTAATGATTCATTCATAGGCGATGACGAAACTATAAAACAATAACAATTGATCCAAAATTGTTAATAATGTAATTGTAAGGAATTGATAAGTATATTGAAGTCGTTAATAATGATGAGGTATAATAATAACGATTCATTTCATAAATGTTGATAATGTCATTGCAAAATGTTAATATTGTATTGCAAGTTGCCACTAAGTGAGAGAGAACATATATTTTCAATTTTCATTTTAAAAAATAAAAATATTAAATTCGAATTTATTAAATATTAAATAATAATATTTAATTAAATTATTTTCGAATTTTCTTTTAATTGTAGTGGAGAGAGAGGGTTATGGAGAAGATCAAGGGGGAGAGAGAAAGAGAATCATTAATGAGTACTATTAATTATATTTTCATAATATCTTATTTATTCCAACTAACTATTAACTACTAACCCCTCATTAACTACCTAATCTAGTATCAGCCAATAAAAATGATTTAAGAACCTCCTTAAACAATGAGGCTTAAGGACCGGATCCAACCCGGCCAATGACTATGTAAGCCGGAGGAGAGGGATAGGTAATACCGTACAAAGTGCTAACACTAGAGAAAAAAAGAAAAAGAAAAAATAAACAAAATACAGACATAATTTAAAAGTTTGAGACAGTTATAGTTAAAACGTTCGAAATACACAAAATAGCTACTTCTGTTCTTCCTTTAACGGTGTCACTGAACAGTATGGCTAGATTGACAAAAATACTAAGTTGGCGATATTTCGTCCTCACCAATCCACGTGGATTAACAGAAAATTTGAAAAATGACAATAAAAAATAAAAAACATAAAAGGACTCAGTTGACCACTCGTCCTTTTTCCTTGTTTTCTCTCCGTCTTCCCACCTTCATCTCTTCGTCATTCGATCATGATGAAGGACGTGGCTGAAATCCCATCGCGATCGACGATCTCCATCCCTCCGCACTCTACGGCGAGCATTCCCCAGTGACGAAGAACTCCTATAATCGTTGTTCATACAATTATTAGAGCTCCTACGAGCATTCGTTTGATATGGATTCCCATTATAATGGTAGCTACTAGCTATTGCAATTGAAATCGCGATTCTGAGGATAACTTTGACCAATATAGTCGACATCCGTCCTTTGGAATTCGCTTATTGTCCTACAATTTCCCCCCTCATGATCATCTCACCACACCACTCGCATACATAGATTTGTGTTGCAGGCAAATTTCTTGTCACCTCGAATCGTGGAGTTGCCTTCTCAGCTCCTCAATTTACAAATTGATTGTTGTTTAGGGAACTTTCGATTCTTGTGCCATCTAAAAAACCAAAGGAGCATACCTCCTAGACCAATTTCAAGATTTAGCCGCCATGGATGCAAACTATTCCAAAGCTTGGTCAAAACTCATTCAAGTTAGGTCACCTTTGGTTGTTTGATTTACCAACACCGTGCAATTTAGATCAGAACCTTTGCCAAAGATATCCATGATTTGTTCGTGCCCAAAATCATGGCGAGGGCAATGCTCTAAGAAGCTCTTGGAATCGCTGAAAAGCCTCATACGGAGATTTAGAAGTACGCTACTTGAAGCAAGAAATATGGTCTCTTAGATCGTTGGTTTTCTCACGGAGGGAAGAACTCTTCTATGAAAGGACCGGATCGTCCCACATACGGACGGTACCTGGAGGTTGGCGATTTAACTAGCTCTTTGCCTTTCTCCAGATGGAAAAGGGAAAGAGACATAGCCGAATTTCATATGGTTCAACACCAAGGTGTTGTGCATAATCACATATTTCTAAAACTATTTTGGTATGTTCAACAGGATTTCCATTATCTTGCCCTTCAAAACTTCTTGCATTTTGGACCATGTGAGTTGTGTACGTTCGCAACTCAAAATCTGGGACCGTAATAAGAGGTAGGATGATGTTGGAACCAATTTTCTTAGCTAAAAGCCCGATATACTCGTATAGAGTTCGTGCAACGATGGCTCTTGAATATCTGTTTTAGAAGGGGGTTTATTGCTTTTCACTTCTGAACACTAATCGAAGAGAGGATTATGTACAAGAGTTGTGAGCTGCTTTCCCTGAAAGGGTCTGTTTCTAGCTGGTGTGTCCTAGATTATGAAGAATAAGAGGTACCACTATGATAAACACGACCCTGGGCTGTCCGTTTGAGCTTTAGCTTATGGATTATGTCCCTGGTTGGTGCTGGACTCATAATAATAAGTTACCTTGCAAAACATGTCAAGTGACAAGTATCTTTAAAAATTGTGAAGAACTGCCATATTTTGTCATAAAATGGTGCATTGGCTGCCAAATTGGAGTCTTCTGTGTTCTAGTTTAGACTCTGACTATGACATACAAAACACAAAACTACAAGAAAAGAAGTACAAAAAGAGTCAGAATACAAGCACAAATGAGAATAAACATGAAAATACAAAAAAAGAACTTTAATCAAATCACACAAAACAAAAACAACATTAAGACTCAAACCAAAAAAGGGGGAAAAAGAGAAAACATGAACAGTTACCTCGCTCGCATATGGAAAGGATCGTGAAAGTTCTTGGCAAAAACGCCAAAATGTGATATGTTGTAGAACATGATCGAATTTACCACGTGGGTAACTAGGATCGTATTTTCTCAAGGCTTTTCACATCCTCCTACTCAATCAGCGAGGGCTATGTCCTTGATTTTGAAAACGAAATGTGAGAGTTGAGGTGCCACCGGGTTGAGGTTCCCCTTCTATATTATATATATATATATATAAAAGAAAACAAAAGAAAAAAAATACTAGATGAGGGAAACGATAGGAAAAGGCGTTGCATATGCAAGCTTCATCTAGATTTTCCTTAGACTCGCTCTACTACGATAAATGAAACATACATACGTAGTTTAGAGAATGCTTAAGGACATATCGAATCACTATGCTTCTATACCCTATCCACCTACACGTGATTTCTCTTTATGCAATGGATTAGGGAGACACATGGGTTAGCCATCTAATCATCCACACTTGTCATGAGCATAGAATGCTGCTAGACGCGTATTGCATCCGATGTGCACTCAATCGTAAGGGCTTCCTTCTTATAACCCACACAATACGAACACAAATTCCAT